AACTACTCCTTATTCCCCCTAATTTTTATTCGCACTGATATCGCATCTCAAATTTTCGTATATCGCATAAAAATGCGCATGAGTCTGGACACTCTAATTTAAACAATCACCTGATTGTTGTCCGGTTGTGCGATGTACAATGATTTTTAGTGCAGTAATGAGCATGGATATGGCTAGCAAATTTATCTATTATTATTGAATAAAAAGCACTTTAAGATCATTTACAACAATCAGGTGATGATTGTACGTATGGATGTGCAGCGATCTACAAATTTGATCAATTTCCCACAGAACTCCAGATGCAGGCTCATAGTGCAGTAGTGCCAAATATGTAGACCCCATAAATGTCTCCTACGTGCTACATTTAGGGAGTCCTAACTGTATTAGGGTAAACTGACCTGTCAAATAATTAAAGTTAAGCGTGATCCGAAGTAATTTATAAATCGAATTGTGAATTTTGAAAACTTTAAAAAAATCATATCTTTCCAATCTTTAATAATAATAATCATAAATGAGTGAACCATTGAATTCCTTCACCCAACCTCAATACTGTATTTTTATTTTACTATTAATACTTTGTCCCCCTAGCACACCACAAAAAAATCGTTCCACTTATGTAAATTAGACCAATCGGATTTTAAGATCAGCGTAACGTAACAATCGAACCGGAATCACTTTTACAAGAATAGCTCCAAACTTAATTAGGGAGTCACCTAATTTAAACCGAAACTTTACTAATAAACACTGCATTGTTCAAATTCTATCATAACGTATATTAAAATTTCACTATTTCAGTATAAATGTTTCATTCAGTATAAATGTTTCATTGGTGTTACCATCTGGACAATACGCATAAGTGCTAGAAGTTTATGGAAATACAATGAATGACTTCGAACACTTCTTATGTCGCACCCTTTGCTTTAGGTCTTCTTCCTCAAGTATTAAATATTAAATGCAGATTTGGATAAATATTTATGCATTTATATTCGTACTAACAGATCTTGTATGAATACGAAATTAATAATCCCGATTATCACTACTATATCAAATCCAAATCGTAACAGCAGTTGTTGGTTTTGAGTGTACGTACGTACAGTAACTTAATTTTGGTTGGTCAAGATAAGGGGGAACAATTTTGTGGAGTGGTTATCCAAAATTCACCATTTTCGGAAATATACGTACGTACGTACCAGGAACGTATAAATAATTTTAGAAAACCAAAATTATATAAAGAGAAAAATTTTTTACTTATTGAAAAAATTCAAAGAAATTTACAATGGATGACGATTTATTAATTACAAACCTATTCTCTTTAAAGGGTAAAACGGCATTAATTACGGGTGGTGCCACGGGAATTGGCAAAATGATGGCGAAAGCATTTGTTAAGAATGGTGTTAAAGTTTATATCGCATCAAGAAATAAAAAAAATCTCGATCAAGGTAATTTGATAATAATATTATTATTATGTTAAAATCTCATAATTGAAAATATAGTAACTATAATTAATCTATATATATATATATTAAAGTTTCCGAAGAGCTAACAAAAATGGGACCTGGTGTATGCTATGGCATTGAAGCGAATTTAACTACTAAAGAAGCATGTGAAAAGCTTGCTGCAGAGATTAAAAATTTAGGAAATGAAAAACTTGATATTCTTGTGAATAATGCAGGAATGATAAACTTTAAGGCTACTTTAACAGATTGTCCTGAAGATATGTGGGATGAGATGTATAGTTTACATGTCAAAAGCGTTTATTATTTAACAATTGCGTAAGAAATAATATTATATGTATATAAAAATTATAACAGCATATACTAAGCATTAAATCTCTTCATGTATTAGCTGTTTACCATTACTTGAAAAAGCTAGCAATAAACCAGTTGATCCATCAAGAGTGATTATAACTGGAAGCATTCTTGGTAACTAATTTTTTAAAATAGTCGTTTTTTTATCTTGTAAAATTAATTTTCTTTATATAATTAGGTATTGGCAATGGTGAACTCAAGCTTGCACAAAAACTTGGATTATGTTCCACGACCTATGTCTCTTCTAAACATGCTGTACATAGTGTTGCGAAAAATCTAGCTGTTCATCTTGCGTAAATAATGTTTTAAACCTTTTATTTATTTTAAAATTACAATTATTTGGTCTAAAATTCTTTATTTTATTTTAAACAGTCAACGAGGAATAAACGTTAATGTTCTTGCACCTGGAGTTGTTCCTGTAAATGATGCGTTGAACGAATTTATTGACGCTGCTATCTGTGAAGTTCCTCAAGGTTAGATCAAAATCATTATTTTGGATATCGTTAATTCCTTGTCACTTAAATTAAAAATTTTTTTAGGTAAACTTGGAAATGAATCAGATTTAGCTGGTGCAGCAATATACTTATCCTCACGCGCTAGTAGTTGGGTAACAGGTACGGAAATTGTAATTGATGGTGGAACTCTTTTAAACTTTAAAATATCAGACGAGTAGATGGAAATTATAATTTGATGTATGAATATTTTTATCAAAAGATGGTTGAAAAGTTTTTTTTTCTATTTGTTTTTTGTACGGAATAGGGATGGCAAATGTTTTAAAACATGATCTTAAAATCATGATTTTAATTCTGTTAAAAATAGTTCTATACATTATGAAGTGATTACGACATATTGCGTTATAATATTTATTATGTTCACTAAAATTTTTAAAAAAAAAAAAAAAAAAATCGAATAAAAAATTTTTTAAAACAATGTCTCATCATTGTGAAAGACCCCGGTAAAAGGAATCTGTTTAAACTTTACGAAAGTTGTTGAACCTAATAAACATGATCATATAACACCTTGCCTAAAGTGTAATTATTGCGAATAAGACTGAGCTGATTTAGTTGACTGATTAAAAGGTCATTTATTAAAATGTAGAAAACCTCCGAGAAATATAAGTGATTTATCAAAAGTTCAGAATCTGATTCTGAACTTCAAATAATTTATCCATAGTTATAATATTGTAAACCTTGGGCTTTCAATACCAACAAATATAAAACTAGAATCAAAGTTGTAGTTTCAAATATATTCCTAAGTTTTATTTTTATTTTTTTTTATGTAATAAATTGAAATTACAATACATAGCTCTGTTTTCTTTAAAGTAAATTTTCTTAACTGAAAATTAAAGTTAACCAAACAGAGGCAATATATTCACTTTCAGCAAAATTTTAACATCAGACGTTAATGTTTTAAAATAAACAGTAAAAAAGAATAATTCCGATTAATTAATTGGTGGCGCAGTCGCAATTAGTTACTAGACGGCACATCCTCAATTTTGATTGGCTAACGGCCGAGGATCTTCAAATTCTGGACCACATTACAAAATTGTTTACTAATTTTCGGCCGGAATTAACTTTTAATTTTTTCATTACAGCTATTATCATAATTCCTGAAACACCTGATAAAAATTAGCCAAATGATTTTTCGGCCGATTCGGTTAAGTTA